CTCGGAGATCCCCTTGATCGGATCTCCAGGTTTACACTCGTACTCTCGGATTTGCTCCGCTTTGTGCAAGGCCAACAAAAACATTATTGCAACCGTTGGGTCAGGCACCGAGGTGCACGGACTTTTGGGGGTGGGAGGCGCTACCGGAATTTGACGTCATTTCGACGGACGTGGGCTCCTCTTTCGGGGGCAGGCACGAAAAAAAAACCTCAAGGGGGACTTTTTTTATTTTATTTTTCCCTTGTCGTTCACACGCGCGCACGCGCGCATCCACTAGCAACTGTCGTATCAACCAGCGGGGTTGGGGTTGTGAAGGTCACATTACGATGGAGAAAATTCCCCTTTGCGTGCCACGAGGAATCCGAGGTGGATGGCCAGGAACAGGTTTGGGCTGCTGGCTGGCGCCGGGTTTAGGGGTGGTGGGCTTCTCAGAGAGGCGTCATCATCATCATCATCATCATCATCATCATCATACACACCATATATATCATCACCTTCAATATTGTGAATTTATTCAGCAACCACACATCGACCAAACTAGCCCTCAAAATAAGAGTGAAAAACCTGGCATTATGCTGCTGCTGCTGCTGCTGCTGTTGCTGCTAACAGATCCTCTGCATGCGAATCTCCGGTACCGATGGTGTGGATCGTGATGCGAGCAGGGGGGTCTGAACCGGATCTGTACACTAAATCGATAACGCCATGCACACAACCTTGGAAGGCCGGCCGGAATGGATGGTATCCCATACGGATAGATGGTGAATAGATGGGATGAAAGATCATCTCTCACTGCCTTTACAAACCACACCTCCCGGAGGTGTCGACGGATTTGGGTTGCGTCGCGAGAACCGCCTCCCCAAGACCTGCCGCAATTGTAGATCTCTTGTCTCATGCCCAGCCCACTGCCAAGTATGCCACCCTGATCCGGTGTGATTCTCGACGACTAGGAAAGAAGGATCATGGAGGCAGGCAGGAACAACCGACTCAGTCACTCGCCCACCCGCAGCCCTTGGCATCTCTAAACCGTCCCATCATTACCCCCACCGGCTAATTAATGACTCCAATAGCTCCCCACACAAGCTCGAGTAAGGTATCCAATCCGGAAGAAAAAAAAAATAGGTTGTCACGGGCGGCCCAGGAACCTAAAGACGTCAATGATACAGCAGCCCGTCCGTCCATCTGTCCATTCCCCTCCACTCCGATGCGGTTCTACGTCCACACAAATGCAAGGCACACAAGGGGAATCTGCCCATACGGCGGTAGGCGCGCGGAGAGCCGTTCTTCCCGAAAATGGCCAACACGAGGGAAGAAGAAAGAAAAAAACGCCAAAGAAGATATGGCTGGAGCCCGCCTAGTAGGCCCGAAAGTCCCTCCGTCCACCCTTCTGCCCCGTCGGAAGACGGACATGAGCCGAGCTATCGAGAAAGAAAAAAAAAAAGAGAGGCGAACACCGGACTGGAAAAAACTTCAGAATACCTGGTATACAGCGGTAGGGTGCGGGGGGGACATTCGCATCTCTCAATGGACGTGCCGCCTTTTTCCCAGAAAAAAAAGATCAAAGAAAGATGCCGGCCCGATCGACGATATCTTCTCGTGGCCCCGCTGCCGAAAAAGCTCGGCATGCGCTTCCTGATTGAGCAGTAGGCGCCACTGCAAGCCACCGCTAGCATCATCACCACTCACCATCAGAGTCACCGCTATTCATGACGAACTCTGCAACCAGCTGGACCAGGAAGGGGAGAAGCAACGTCCCCCCTTCCCCTCCCGCTTCACCGTTCCTGCGGCGTCCGATAATTAAAAAAAAGGACTCCTGCAAACTATCTGGCTCCCTCTGTACGCTTCTTCGACGGCGGCTTCGGTTTAGCGTTGCCGGACCGAGTACCACGTGTACTTCCCATTATCTTGTAGCGCTGCCGCTGTCGTCAACGATATCGGGGCTCTCTTGCGTCTTTGCGCGTTTCTGGCCGCCGAAGGAGGCCACATGGCCTCCCGCGGGCTTCTTTTGGGGGCAAAGGGGAAAAGGGCGAAGGGCCACGATGCTACGATAAGGAAAGTGCCTGACAGGACGGGACAAGCTTGAAGGGTGGGGGTGTGTGGTGAATGGACGTGAGGTGAAAACTAACGCGGCCACGCGGCGCGGTGTGCTCGGTACGTACTTTAACATGGTGGCGGGGTTTTGAAAACACTCACAGTGGTGAGGTTGCAGCGAGCTGGAGCAAGAGAGAGAGAGAGTTCAGCATGGCCAGGGGTCAGTCGGCGATGGTCAAGACTGAGTTGTACAACGTCAAAGCTCCCCCGAGTAGGTAGGTTCCCATGGATGATGGAGCTTGATGCCGAACAGCTCGCGCGACCCGCGCCGCGACGACGAAACCCCCCACCCCCCCTCTTGGGACACTAACTATCCTGTGCCTGGTGCCTGTCGTATATCACGATCACGCTGCTTGGAGTCAGATCTCCGTCGGTGAGACACGTCCGTGGTCCAACATCGATAGTGCCACCTATGCGGACGTTGGCGCGGCCGTCGCGCTAGTTTCCTGCACCGCGACCCTGCATTTCTTTCCTGTTTTCTTCTCTTCGGGGAAGGTGGGGAGGGCGATGGTGCACGGCCTTGGGGGCTCCTCAGCTCTACCCACGTATACATATTTTTGCAGGCATTGGGAGAGGAGAGTAGGCGGGTGGGTATCTATCCATCGTGACTCGGCAAATACACGAGAGGCTGAGAAGCCGAGAGAGAGAGAGAGAGAGAGGAGAGAGAGAGAGAAGGTGTGAAGCGGGCCTGCGCGTGTGACCGAACAAACTCACGAGAACTAGGCCGAAGACAGCGGTGTAGACGGTGATCGTCATGTTATCTCTGGTAGGGAAGAGGGGGGGTTCGGGCTGCCCTGACAAGGTAGCGATGTAGTATGCTGGGAGCCGGCGCCTTGGAAAACCAACATCAGCTCCTCTCCCAATGCGAATGACTTGTTCAAACCTCGTTCCGGCCTAGCTGGGGGACGAGCCGTCGCCCTTCTACCCCCGGGCCGACAAGGGTTTCCGCCGGTAATCAGGCACCGGACGACAGGCAAGACATTATTCAGCAACAGAATAGAAGAAAAGAAGGAGGGAAAAAAAATCAAAATCAACAGTGACGGGTGGATGAGGCGGATCGTTTGCATGAATCGTGACGTTCGGGAACAGGAAAGGCGGGTTTTGTGCGGCCCTCTCCGTACGCCTCCAACACCGACGCATCGATGCCTTCAAACAAACGACAAACACAATGCCCTTGTCTGGCCCCCCTTGGTACCGGGTTCGATCTGCAGAGGCATGGGACAAAAAAGGGGGGAAAAAGGAAAGAAGCTTGGATCTTTCGGATCCGTAGATACGGGATGTATCTACCACCTACCAATTTTAGCATCACCGGGTAGACAAGATAGGTAATGATGATGAGACATGCATAAGAGGGCTGTAGTCATCACATACGCGTCCTGTTTCCCTCCCCCTTTCCCCCCTTTCCTTTTGGCTTGACGTGTGGCAAATTGCCAGTTTCACGGTTGAGACATGCAGCCAGGAACATACAGCCGTAGGAAGACGACCCGCTTCCCTGGGTCGCGATGCCGGGGAAAAAGGTTGTCAATAAGGGTGGGGATCACGACGATGATGATGAATGATGATGAGGTGAACAGGGGAGACTGATAGGTGGGACAGTTGGCTTTCACTTGAGCGGGTGTTGGTAGTTCTGGATCAAGTGGTTCACAGCTCCGGACCGGAGGAAATGAGAGGAGAGAAAAGCAACGGGTATTTAGATGGGCCATGCAGCTCTCTCTCCGGAGACGTACGAACACTCTATTTCACAGGTTCGCAGAGGAGCAACCGCTTGTTTCTGAGGCTAACCAACAGCAGGCATCTCTCGCGAGAATTGAAGCGGACGACCCGGCAGACTGCACAGCTTTTTTTGCCCAGCGGCCCCCCAGGCATGGGGTTTGGAGGGCAATGTCCGAGCAGCCAGCTGACCAGCCGTCCCCAGTAATTAAGCTACGTCTCGAGAGGCTCGATTCTATACCGACGGAGCCGGTGCAGGATGTTCCTGCTTCCCGTTCCCGTTCCCTCTTTTTTTTTTTCTTTCTTCTTCCATTTTTTTGTCCTCCCTCATCTCGTTTGTTAGCCTCGTCGACTAGGGGGGAGGACCGCTTCCCTGCTTGCAGCGACCCCCCGTCATCCTCACTTTCGGTTGCTAGCTCGAGCAGTGGATCAGGCAAACGCGCGCACTTTGGCTACTAGCGCGGGGCGGCTATTTCTGGGTATCGTCTTCGAGGTCGAGGTGGTGGACTTGTTTGTTATTTGCTGCTATACGAGACCGAACGATGGGTAAGGCTCTAACTAATGTCCATGGTGCCCGAATCCACCATGTGTCTTATATACCTACCTAGGCAGCGACACCGACTAAAAAAAAAAAAAATTAAAAAATTGCCGTAGATACGCCGATCTCGTCCCCTCCGTCATAGCTACCTACCCATGTACGCGTATTCGTTGCCCCATCGTCTGAGCCGACCAAGCCGCGACGGGTGGGGTGAGATGTCTTGGGCGTTTCGGCCGTTGGAGAAGGGCACGAAGGGGTGTGCTCAACCCGTCATGGCCGTGGCACCGGACCATGAAAAGAGGTCTCATAGCATAACGGTGGCGATGTGGATTGGGCTTGCTGATCGCCGTCATGTTGGCATGCCCACCGATCCGACAAAGGGGGAGGCGAATTCTTAGGGAAGGAGGAAAAAGAAAAAGAAAAAAAAAAAAACCAGGAGGGAGGTGGGTAGGTGCATGGGGTTCCATCTGAACGTCTGATCGGGTTCAACGGCCGACGGTCCCTACCGCAGTTGTCACGGTTGGCTTATCCCTTTGGAGTACACCCTCGTGAACCTGCCGAGAGGCTGACTCTGCTTGATCTTCACATCAAGATATCGGCGGCGCTCAGCCTCGGTCCCTGTACCATCTCGGCCATGACCCTTCCTGTCCCGAGACTCGGGTTGATGTCCCACAAACCGTATACCCCGCCCTCGCCGCCGACCCGCGTCGATATCCCCCCCGTCCAGCCGTCCTCCGCGGCGGCTACGTCGCCGTCGTCGTCTTTGTCGTCCACCCGCTCGCTCGGCTCGCTGCCCTTCCCGGCTGGTGCGGCGGCGTGGCTGATGGCCGTGTTCAGCGACCACGCCCACATCGTCCCGCCATCGTGCTCCTCGGCGAGCCTGCGATGCTCCCCGAAGCTCAGGGTCCCAGAGCACGGCAAAGGCGGGCGGAAACCAGTCCCGCGCGAGGAAGCCCGCCCTCCACGTACCCTGAGGCTGGCTGAGGCGAATAGCTCCGGCGAGGGCCCGGCGAGGTGGACCGTCGGGGCCGGGCTGGCGGTCTGCGAGGTAGCGCGTGGCCAGCGGAATTTTATACTCAAATGATGAGGTTGTGGTGGTGGGAGCTCCCCCTTCCCTCCGTCCTCCGTTTCCCCAACCACAAGCTCTCGAGACCGGAGCTGTCGAACCCCGCCAGGCTTGATAAGATAAGGAAACCGGACACACCCCCCCACTTTGCGACACCGGACACACACTGACACAACGGTCCACTGCATCAGTTCGGGATGGCGCAAGCCTCCCGCTCCATCTTTTACGCTGCAGAGTTTTGATACGGGACGTTTTTCTTCTTCTTCCTTTTTCTTGCTGCATCTGTCCCGTCGGATTTTGCTCGGAAACAAAACAGCTGCTTGCTGAACCGTCGCACGAGGCCCTAAAAATTAACGCACCATCCATCCCCCGCGTGTAGCCAAACCACGACGACGACGACGACGACGACACGCAATGGCTTCCAAAGTAATCATTGTGACCGGCGCCAGCCGGGGCATCGGCCTGGCCATCACCAAGCACCTCCTCAAGGACTCCCACAAGGTCGTCCTGGCGGCGAGGTCCAAGGACCAGCTGGAGGCTCTGAAGACGGCCCATCCCGGGCAGGTAGCTAACTACTGGCGACCTGAGTGACCTCAAGGTAGGACAGGATGAGTTTCTTTGTGGTCGTCACGGCCTCGGAAGAGGGGGCGGGGGGTTCCCAGCAAGCAAGCAAAGACTAACATTGGGCCCAGGCCATCCCCCGGATTGCTGAGGCGGCGGTCAAGGCCTTTGGCAAGATTGACGGCATCGTTATCAACCACGGCGTTCTGGAACCCGTCACCCGCCTGGCAGACTCGTCCGTCGAGGAATGGAAAAAGGCATACGACATCAACGTATTCAGCGGGCTCGCATTGGTGAGATGAACAAAAGTCTCTTCTCCATCTTTTTGTGCTCTAGTCTAACGTTCACCAAGGTGCAAGCATCGCTGCTCGAGCTGCGCAAGGCCAGGGGCTGTGTCCTCTGGGTCTCCTCAGGCGCGGCCACCGGCGCATACGCCGCCTGGGGAGCCTACGGCACCTCCAAGGCCGCCATGAACCACCTCTCGGCGCACTTGGCCGTCGAGGAGCCCGACATCACCAGCATCGCCATCGGCCCCGGCCGCGTCGACACGGACATGCAGAAGCTCATCCGCGAAACGGGCAGCGGCCATATGGCCGACGACGACCACGCCTCCTTCGTGTCGGCATTCGACAAGGGTGAGCTGTTCAAACCCGAACAGCCTGGCAACGTCATGGCGCGATTCGTCGTCAAGCCACAGCATGATCTGTCTGGCAAGTACCTCAAGTAGGTAATGACGCCCCCAATAGAGTCACCGATGCTAACCCGGTTCCCAGATGGCAAGCCGGCGAGCTTTCAGCATACCAAGATGCGTAGAGTGTCCACTAAGAAGTCCAATGTTAGCCATTTGCTCTTTCTTCCTGAGCTGCAAATAGAAAAAAAAAAAACATTGATATAGAAATATGCCTCAGTCGAAAGATGAAAAGCTCATATTTGATTCCACATTGTTTATTCAGGATTAGCATGGAATATGTTTCATCATCATCGGCAAGCCCGCTCGGGCGAAGAAAAGAGGAAAAATTTTGCGTTCGCAACCTACCTTGAACATGAGAGGCTGTGGGCTTCATCGTGAGGAATGCTCGTCAGTTTGCCGCCAGTTTGCGGAATCCACCTGTGGCACCAGCAAAAAAAGCAAGTCAGTCCAGCATTCACGTATTTCCAGGCGTCCCAGAGAATATGCGAGTATAGCAGATGCTCAGTGTCTAAATGTCTCCGTCACGGGGTGTCGGTATTTGATAGTACTTTGTTTTGGACATCATCGCTTGGGAGCGCTTGTGTGCGCAAAACAGGGAGTTGGAACAGGAAGCTTTGGCGTTGGGCGCGCTTACCATCGTCCTATCTTGAATCTTTTGTTAGCACTTGGTGTCGCCAGCTGGGCAAGAACGGCAAGAAGACAAAAAGGCGTGTTGATGGTGAGGGATCAGAGAAGTCCGTTTGGCTTGGACGGTCATTCACCACTTTGAGGGGAGTTATTCCTCGTAAGTTTGGGGCGACAACAAGGCTCATCATTTCGATTGGGGAAGGGGGAGGGAGAGGTGAAGTGAAAGACTTACCAAAGTCAGTCCGGAACGGCAGAGCCGCCAGTTTCTCTGAAATAAGAGGACATGGTGGTTTTCAGGCTCTGCCGTTTGGTAGTGTGAAGGAGAGTTGAGGTAGAACGCATCGTCGAATATTTTCTCTTTTAAGGTGCAGAAAAAATTCAGAGTGATTGGGAAGTTGGTTGGCCCGTGCGGTGCGGGACCTCGGATGCATCTTTCGCCGATCGGCCGCTGCCACACAGCCTGCGCCCCACTGGCAGCAGGCCACAGTGGCACCGTCGCTCTGGGGTTTGCTTGCTTGGGCGGGCGGGCGCGCGGGGGGGTTCAAATGCAGTTGATGTCCCCCATCCAAAGGAGCATAAAAGACCCCACCATACACACACATACGTACAGCAGCAGGAGCGCGAGCCACACTTTCTGAGCACCCCCCTTCACCCCGCGATGCTTCACATTGCCTATTCCGCTACAGCATTTTTTACCACCAGCCATCTCCGTATAAGTTCGTGAACCAGCCTGGTCCATCGTCGTCCACGTTCATACACACACAAGCACATATATCACCACCTTTGACTGTCAACACAACCAGACGCCGTCGTGCCCTGTTATCGAGCAACGCGACCGAGTCGCTAGCCTGGTCAGGTTTCCATCTTCGTCTCATTCCCGCGCTAGCCTCGTTGCTCTCATCTCATATCGCAACCATGTCGGACCACGACCTCGCGGGTAAGTGAAGCTGCATTCCCCCCCCCATCTCGCCCCCACTTCACTTTGCCTTGTCTTTTCCTTTTGTACGTGGCCGATTTGCCTGGCAGTCTCTGCTGGTGTCCGCCATCGGCCTCTGAATGCCCTCTAGGCATCATCCAAACCCTCATACCGGGCCGCCATATAAACGGCACCCAGTGCCAGCCCTGAGGCTGCGACAACGGTCCGTTCGTCATGCATGTCTCGGCGACAAAGGGCTAAGAAACGGATACCTACTGGAAAAATCTAGGACTGCTAGTGCAATTCGCATCACTCATCAGGCTTTGATTATTGATCCTTGATTGCTGACTGTTATCACAGGCAACGATGACCTGTCCTTGCCAAAGGGTATGTACTCCCACCCCGAAGCCATCACTGCGGGACTCGGTCCCCCTAATGCGACACCATTCCGTCTTTCCAAAATGAAATGCTAATAGCCATTACAGCCACCGTCCAAAAGATCGTAACAGAGATCCTGCCGCCCTCCGCTGGCGTCGCCTTCTCCAAGGAGGCCCGCGACTTGCTCATCGAGTGCTGCGTCGAGTTCATCACCCTCATCTCCTCTGAGGCCAACGAAATCTCAGAGAAGGAGGCCAAAAAGACCATCGCCTGCGATCACATCACCAAGGCACTTGAACAGCTGGGCTTTGCAGACTACGTCCCCGCCGTGTTAGAGGCGGCCGCCGAGCACAAGGAGGTGCAAAAGGTGCGTTCACTCCCTTTGTCTCACGCAAACCTCCCTGACCGACCGCTGACACCTCATGCAGGGACGTGAAAAGAAGGCCAACAAGTTCGCCAACAGCCAGATTCCGCTCGAGGAGCTCGAGAGGATGCAGAGAGAGGCGTTCGAGGATGCCGCCAACCGCCACGCTTAGAAGGGAGGTGGAGGTCACTTTTTAAGGGCGTTTGCTTCGGTTGATTAGGCATGGAAACGGCGTTTAATGAGGCACACACAGCCACCAGGACTTTGGGAGGAAGCATGATGTCATCTTCATCCCGCTGACGAATGCATGAGAATCCGGCTTGATGGAGCCCCTGGGAGGAGGGAACGCGGGGTTTTTTCTTCTTCTTTATTTTTTGATGAGCAGGCTCGTGATCTTGGAACGGCGAACGGTTCATCAGAGAACATAGATCCCCCGGATAGTCGCACCCGCACACGTTAAATACAGACTTCATGTGGATCTGCTCCCGCGTAACACACACTCGTTCCTTTCGTTTGCTCGTAGCTCCGATGAGCTGCCTATCCAGACAAAGTGTACATGATGGGCCAAGCATATTGATATCATAAACGTCCCTCATAATCAGCTCCCCCAAATAAACAACAACGCCATAGATCTCATAGATCTTATACATATACAGGGAACCGCAGTTCCTGTGACCGGCTCCTGCGCGGAGCCGTCGTCGAACAGCCCTTCTACCACAGTCGTCTCTGGTAGTAGACCTTCTCCTCCCCTTCCGCCAACCGCCTCAGCTCTTCTTTGATTAGCCTCCGCCTCTCGGCGCGACTGATGGGCTTCTGGTTCGACGCTTCGGGGTCCGGGTTCTTCTGGTCCTTGACCTTCCATCCCTCAATGTTCCTCTCCCTCTCGTCCATGTTCTCCAGGTCTTCCTTGCTGACGCCGCCCTTTTCTTCCTTTTCCGCCGAGCTTGTCATCTTCTGCCACATGTCGGACGTCCACCCGGCCGCCTTATTCCCGGCCTTCTTCTTCTCTTGCTGCTGCTGCTGTCGCTCGGGCACCGTGGGCTTCACCTCGATGATGATCTGGTCCTGCTTCCCTGCCCCGTCGGCGGCCTTGAGGTGGTCGGGCACGTAGTACGACGCCTTGGGCGAGGGCCGCGACTCGGGCTTGATGGCCTGGCGCAGCTGCCCGAGGGTGCGCTGTTGGATTACATAGCCGCTGAGGAATAGGGCTGCGGTACAGGATACGACTAAATTGATGCGAGTGTGCGTTTAGCAGCAAACGGGGCCCATGGCACGCGTTCGCGCAGGACGCACAACGGGAGGTTAGCTGTTTGTTTGTTCACATCCGTACACACACACATTCTCTCTCTCTTTTGTTCATTTCCCTGGAGGTGGGGGACTGGAATGCGGGAACGCAGAGGGGGGCGGGTGTTACCGATAGCTGAGGAGAGGAGGACCGAGACTTGGGAGGATGTGAGGAGCACCATGGTAGCTGTAGAATTCTCGGTTCTTTGTCTTGCAAGTCCTCCTTTCTGTGAAAATTGGTCTTAAATTGTGTGAATATTGCAAATACTAATCGCCTTAGGAATATACGATAGATTGTGTTGATGTTTCCTCGACATTTGAGGTTCGCCAACTCAGTCGTCTTTTCTTCTTGATCCAGTGCCGCATACGCCAGTTGTAACCCGGCGCAGGCGTGAACTTGGAAGTGGGCTGTTTACTTGGTTCGCACGGCAACAATCGATAAGCACCACCGATTCGCCGCTGACCTCCAGCTTTTCCCCCCTGCGTCACACCGATCAGGATCGAGCGAGCTGCTGTCGCGTCACTGCCACCCCACCACCCTGAGCGAGCTGTCATTTTCCGCATTGCGAATCCTCTCGACTAGTGAGTGTCGTCCTTGGCGAAGTTTCTTGTAGGCCGACCCATCCTGAACTAGGTATCCTACAGCGAGCCTTCGGCCACCCATCAAACCAACCATCCGAATCGCCTTCAAACCGAAGAAGAAAAAATAAGGAGGGGGAAAAAAAATCACCTACAGGCCGTCGCAACGATGAGCAAGCCCGACCTAGTCTACGCCGACGAGCGGCGCTTCCTCGACGAGCGCGGCTCCTCGGCCTCGCTGGCGCCCAACGGCGAGAACCCGGCCACGATCATGGAGAAGGCCGTGCGCGAGCGCATCATCGACTCGTACTTTTACAAGGAGCAGTGCTTCGCCGTCAATGAGGCCGACATTGTCGACCGCGTCGTCGAGCACGTCTCCTTCATCGGTGGTACCTACGGCGTCACGCAGAAGCCCACGCCCTTCCTGTGCTTGGCCTTCAAGCTCCTGCAGCTCGCGCCCTCGGACGCCGTCCTCGAGACGTACCTCGGCTTCGGCGGGGACAAGTTCAAGTACCTGCGCGCGCTGGCGTGTTTCTACATCCGCATGACGAGGAAGCCGAGGGACGTCTACCTCCTGCTCGAGCCCTTCCTGGAGGACCGGAGGAAGCTAAGGCGGAAGGGCCGGCAGGGCGCGAGCCTGACGTACATGGACGACTTCGTCGACGACCTCTTGACCAAGACGAGGGTGTGCGCGACCAGTTTCAGGGAGCTGCCCAAGAGGTCCGACCTCGTGGACCTGGACGAGCTGGAGGAGAGGATCAGCCCGCTGGGGGATATCGACGAGCTGCTAGAGGAGGAGGAGGAGAGAAAGGCCAACGAGAGGGAGGCCAACGCCGGGGCAAACGGCGCGGACGGGTCGTCGGAGGGGGAGGTTGCGGAGGATAGAAGCGGCGACGGCGAGCCGATGGATGTGGAGAGGCGGTCGGGATCACGGTCGAGGTCGAGATCAAGGAGCAGGCAGAGGTCCCCCTGAACAAGCAATGTTAGCCAAATATGATACCCAGCTTTCTGCTCCGACGAGGGCAACAGCAAAGACAAAATGAGAGAGCCGTTGGCGTGCGTGATGAACATAGTGGGTATAATTTTTTCTTATCCTAATGTACAGTTTTACAAATGGCGACCTTTCCGCCACGCCACTGCGTGAAGTCTCTCAAGAATCTGCTCAAACAAGCCAATGCTTGTTACCCGCCCTCGAACGAACCCCGTTAGGCAGAGAGGAGACGGGAGAGGTCCTTGGCCACACCGAGTAGCTGCCTGTCGTCCCAGTACTGGCCGATCAGCTGCAGCCCGGCCACCCTGCGGCTGGCATCCGCCTCGGCGTGAGGCGCGTCGACCCTCGTCGGGATACTGATGGCGGGTAGCCCCGCCAGGCTCGCCGGCACGGTGAAGACGTCGTTCATATACACCTGCACCGGCGTCTGGCGCTCGATGTCCTCGATCCGCGGCGCGAAGGTCGGCGCCGTGGGGCACAGCAGGAAGTCGACCTGCGACGGCCCAAGCTTGTCCTGCAGCTCGACCCCGTCCCCCATGTCGCTCAGGTCGAACTGCCGCTCGTCGTACAGCGGGTTCGCGAGCCGGAAGACGCGGTCGAAGTCGCGCTGCACAAGCCTGCGCACCCGCTGCGCCTGGACGAAGTAGTTGTCCATGGCCTCGGAGCTCAGGCTGTAGGACCCGAGAAGGATGCGGCGCCGAACCTCGTCGCCGAGGCCGAGGCCACGCGTCTTGGAGTAGAGGACCTCGCCCGCGCCGTCGCTCTCGTCACCGCGGGTCCCGTAACGGACGCCGTCGTACTTTGCGAGGTTGGAGGAGGCCTCGGCAGGCGCGATGACGTAGTATGCCGAGAGTGCGTGCTTGGTCGATGGGAGGGAGACGGGAACGACATCGATGCCCAACCGCTGGAGCTTGTCTGCCGCGTCGGACCACGCGGCTCTGATCTGCGGGTCCAGCTCCTCGATGTTGTACTCGAGGGGGATGCCAACTCTGAGGCGTGAGCGGCGGTCCGTTCCTTGGCCCTGCTGTCTCTTCCTGAAGCTCTGCGAGAGGGACGTTGGGTCCCGGGCGTCGTGCTCCCCGTCCAGACCAGTGCCGAACACCAGGTCCTCGATGACGCCCACCTCCTTCGCAAGCAGGCCGACAGTGTCGAGCGAGTTCGCATACGGCACGACGCCGAACCTAGACAGCATGCCGTACGAAGGCTTGTACCCCACAACACCGCAGTACGCCGCCGGAAGACGAATCGAGCCTCCGGTGTCCGTGCCTAGCGCCACGTCCGCCTCGCCCGTCTGAACCGCGACCGCGCTTCCTCCAGAGCTCCCGCCTGCCGAGGTGGCGACCGGTGACAGCGGATTGAGCACCGGCCCGTGTATCGAGTTCAGCGAGTGCGATCCCATACCAAACTCATCCATGTTCGTCTTGCCGACGACGTGGGCGCCTCGTTCTCGGAGTTGGCGCACGATGGTGGCCTCGTAGGGGCTCCTGTAGGAGGAGAGGATGGCCGAGGAGCATGTTGTCGGCAGGTCCTGAGTCGCGATGTTGTCCTTTACTGCTAGCTTGAACAATGGCCTCGTACCCGTCTCCGTCGGGGGAGCGGTCGCCGTCGCATCGGCAGCTTCTAGGGGTAGTCGTTAGCTCTGGCGCAAGTGCAGGGCGGCTGGGCATACTGTACCTGTACGGACGAAGTGGTTGAAGTCATGTTGCGAACGCTTTTCTTGCCGGGTCAATTGACGGATGCCTCTTGAGCCGACGGGCCGCAGACACACCCGCGAGAGTTTTACATGGGAGGACATGGAGGCTTCAATTGCCAGCTTTCAACGCTGGTTCTTGCTGCAGCTTCGGTACTTTTCGACAACGGGAGCTTCCCGTCTCGGTGACCACCGGACTCCACTCACCGACCAAATGTTGATGACTAAGCAAGCAACACCAAATCAATACAAGTTGCAGATAATACACTTATTGTAACTGTTTGACATCTCAATTTATGACACGAAAGCAATATGGTTGCAAGAGAACTCCGAACTCTAGCTAAATGCGAAATGCTTCCTCAGGTCTATCCCTGGATGTTCAGAATGGAGATGTATTTGTGTCTCGCAGAACCAAAGCTGTATACACTGGTATTCAATCTACATGTCTGTGTCGTTACAACTGTTCTATTTTCTTTCTGTACCTGATTTTTTCTCATTCGCCGCATGAACGCTTTCGCCCCCGGACGTCAAGCTGTGAGGATCATCCGTACTTCGTCTCTTACCCTCTCTTCGTGTAAACAAGAGCCCTGGGTGACCGATGCTTAAAGAGAATACCGCCAAGACCATCACACTACATAATGTTAAATAATTTTGAACAGTGTGATACCGATTCAAGATGAACTTACGCTGATTCCAGGGCAATGAACAATGCTTGGTCGCGAAACCAGTGACTAAAGTAACCTTCGTGTAGCTCAACGACGCGGTAGACACATCGGAGAAGAATGAATAAAGTACTGAGACTGAGAAACAACAAGTACAACTTGAGTCTTTGGCTCATTGGAGGCCGAGTTCTTGAGCGAGAGTACGTGATCATGTAGTCAGCAAACAAGCCGCAGAACGCCAGCAGTGCGGCCACCTGCAAAACCAACCCGACAAGTGAGATGTTGACTCCCTGATCTACTGCGGCTCTCGTTGTGCTGACAGACGATAATGCGCCACCTAGAGCCTGCAGTATGAGAGAGACTATGTCCAAAGGGATAAAGATCCAGTAAAAAAGGCGAGGAGAAAAGCGGGATATCGATCGGTCGAGGAAATTGATTCTGAAGTTATGAAAGTCAGCTTCGGCAGCACTATCTAGGACACGGAATCGGATTGTTACGTTTGAGATAGAAGCACATAGATGGCAGCCGAGAAGAAGACCGGGGCTACGGTGATGCAGACTGGCAAGGCACATTAGCCCATCAGAATACATCGAGACAGCATAAAGGGAATTTATTGTAATCTTTCATTAGAAAGGTCGACTTACTGATTTGTATAAGGAAGCCATTAAAGTCAAATGGGTTATCGTGGATGATGAGCCTTCCCACGTAACCAACGATTTCCAAGACGCAACCGCAGACCATGCTGGCTGTGAAACCCCATGTTTTCCACCTAATACCCTGGACTGCATGGACAATCAACGCCAAGGCGAAAAAAGCGATGAACACGCCGCTAGCGGGAATAGAAGGCTGGTAGCGGAGGATGCTCCATTCTAGCGGGCAGAGCTCGAGTGTGCAGTTTGCTTCAGGCCCGAAGGCGACGAGGCCGTCGGGCAATGTAGCCATTCGAATGAATACTGTCGGGAACCAGGCACAGTATCGATTTAACGTGTTGGCGACAGGTTGTATCTGAGTATTAATCAGTGGCCCTCGAGCTTGGCAAAAACAACTGATCATTGACGTCGACAACAACACCGCGTACGCACGTCGAGGCAAGCGCCATGCGGCAGAGCGGGTCTTATAACTAAATCACAGATCGGTTCGAGGGGTCGGAAATTTTTACCATATGAGCTTTTCGCTGGCCGGCCTTCCGACGGTCCGCAGGAACCGGGTCGATTGGGTGTCCGACGCTCCCGGACGGCCTTGCATGGCGTAAGACCGTGGCTTAGCTACAATCAAGTGCAGTACGAGGTTTTCTCGTGACGTCCCTTGCTCTGGCCCAAATCGCAAGCTTTAATTGGACTTGGACCGGCGGCTTACTTCCTTTGATAATTGGGCTCTAATTATGATGTAAGAGAGGCCAAGTGTTAGCAGATCCATTGTGTGCCTGCCGCCCGACTCCGGTGAAGAGATAAGAAGATGAAGCCCCCCCCCTGTTCTTATGCCGTGCTTACTACCGAATAATCGAATGCGACTGGCAGCTACTCCCGAGACAGCGAAGAGAAGAGGTGGGGCACATCGGCGCGTAGGATGATAGGTACGGTGGCGTGTTTGCTCCGAAATGATAGCCTCATTCCAGCGTACGCGATCCCGGTTGGATTCTCTCTGGGACGAACCCTCGCGGCACTTACGCGGCATGCAGGTTGGCCCATCGAGTGTTCCGCGGAATGCACCCATGAGTCCGGGGAGAGGCATGGCTAAGCATGTAAGAAGCCGAAGTCTTGTCGTTGCGATAAGGTAATCGAATTTGGCATTGAATTCGGTCGGGTACCCATGCGTCTCGAGAGACCCAAGTCTTTCGAAATGTCCAAGTCTATCTGCCTCTCGTCACGTTCCTGTCATGGGTCTACTGTAGGGTTCGAGCATGTGAGGCTCGCCGTCTTATTGCTATAGCAGCAAAGCAACGGGAACATAAATCTATGTCAAGTGACATGTCTGATAGCCTAGTCAAGTAAACATTCCGCGATACGGCCGCCGGGAGTCATGGGATTGAAAGAATGGCAAAATTTCAGAGACTGGGATAGTATCGAGTAAAGGAGTCAACTATCGGTGCAGTTAGGGTTCAATTGTGACGATTATTCCTATCTGCCCTTTCCGTCCCTAGGATTCCTGCAGATTTCTCCTTTTATGTGCTCATCGGTCAATAGTTTACCCGCGTCCGGCTCCACCCCGGTGCCCCCCCGGCACCCCGTCGCGGCGCCTGACACAAAAAGTCAAATAGATGGAGACTCGAGAGACCAACAGCAACCTGTACTCAGCAACGATAAACGAAAGACAGCAAGAGAAGGAGAAATAAATACCAGATAACTTGTAACTAAAGCCCAAGGTTTATCGCTCTTGATAGTATGGTATTAATATCCCACTTATTGCCTGGCTTTTGCACTTGAAAACCACAGATCCTGCCTATTAGGCAACGTCATCTGGCTTCTGTGGCTCAAGCGAGCAACCCGACTTGGCAACTTAGGACGTCAAAGACATAAGTGTTCTTGCTGACATCATTCTCTCCACTTACGCAAATTGTTACAAATTTGTGAATGGTATCGACTTATAGGTTTACAGAAATCCTAACATGCCACCTCTTTATTACATCAGTGTCTTTTGGATTGAACAGGACAGAGTCGTGCCATAAACACCATTGTTGATGTGTTATGTTCTAAACCATTCACCACACACATACTTAATATAGTTCTGATACGCTATCTACATAAGCGTTTTGTTAGGTGCCTAGAGTGGGGCCCCAGGGGGGCACTGGAGTGGGACCAGGACCAGATAAACTAGTCACTAAAGGAATAATAAAAGGGGAAAACTTTATAGAAGATAGGGGTTAGAGGAGGCATATTAGAATAATTATTATAATTAAACCCTAACTACGCCTATTACTAACTCCTTTACTTAATACTATCCCTACCTCTAATACGTTCTAATATCTCCTTATCTTTAGGTGTATTAACTACTAGAGTAGTAATAGTGCCTACTAGATCTTAAACTATAGCTTAGTAATAAAGAAGCGCTATAATAAGATAACTAACGCCTAATATAACTAAGTCTATACTAGTAGATAAGTAGTATACTATTAACTTAAGTAAGCTATTAGAAAAAGAGCTAAAGGCTTTTCTAAAAAAAGAAGTAAAGAAGGTAAAAAAAAAGAAGATAATTAATTAAATTAAGGCCTTTTAAAGTAATATATTTATAAAAGACGTATAAGAGGAGATAAAGATAACTACTAATCCCTAACTAGAGGCTGAGTAACTTTATACTAATACGCTCTTAAAAGGATTACTTACCTTAAGGTATAAAGGGGAAAGCTAAAATAAACTATAAGAATTCTTATTTTAGTTAGAAATATATTTTAATATAGTAAGAGATAAGTTTATAACTAATAATAATAAGGTAAAATATACTAGTACTATACTAAAAAGTAACTTAGTATATAAATAAAAAAAGTATATAGGTTTTTATTATAAAAGTAAGATTAGTAAAGTGCTTTAAGAAGTTATAAAAGACTAGCTAAAAGTAAATATTACTAATAATAATATATAGGCTTTTAGTACTACTATAAAGCTAGACGTTATATAATAAGCCTTAAGCTAGTTATACTAATAATTTATTAATAAGTATAAGATAGTTAAGAAGAAGTGCTTTAACCCCTAAATAAAAAGGTAGTAAGTAGTCTATATTTTAAACTAAATACTTTTAGACCTAAGGACTTATATACTTACTAAAGGGCTACTAGCTACCTACTAGAAGTTAAATAATATAGTAAAAAAAGTAAAAACACTTACTAAGACTTATATAAGAGAGGTATTAAGAGAATAGCTAAGGTAAGGTTAAAAGAAGAAAAGCTACTAAGAGGTAGTAGCGTAACTAATAACTATAAACGCCCTCTTAACTAAAGCTACTAGTATATACTTAATACTAATAGCTATAATATTAGTAAGTACACCTATATTAAAGCTAGAGGTTAAAAAAAAAAAAAAGTATAACACCTTAGCTAGAGAGGACCTAAGGACTACTTACTTATTATAACTATAAGAAGCCTAAGCACTAGTTAGCTAAGTATAGTAAAAAAAAGTACTATAAGTATAAATAACTATAACACTTAAGGAGATAGTATACCTTAGTACTAATAAGAGTTAATAGTATTAAGCTTTTTTAAAATAAAGAACTATACTACTACTTTAAGGTAGATTTTTATATAAAAATAAGTAGTATATAGAAAAAAAGGAAGACACTAATTAATCTTAGTATAAATAAAAATATACTATACTAAAAAATATTATATATAAAGGTACTAGTAGAAGTAAGCTAAGGGGGCCTAGCGCTTTAAGGTATATAAAAAAGTAAAGCTTTAGACTATAAAATAAAAAAGGTAGTAATAAAAGTTATAAATAATATAAAGGTCTTAAGGATATAAAGCTATACCTTTTAAGTTAGTAATATAGCTAGGTATAACGCTATCTTAAAGATCTCTTAAGAATAAATAGTATAACTAAATATAAAGTAAATAATAATTAGTTAGATATACTTACTAAAAAAAGACTACTTCTAACTTATTTAAAGTAAGTAAGAAATTAAGAAGATATATAAGGAGTTAAGGGCTATTCTAGCTTATTAACTAATAATTTACTACTTATAATATAAGGGGGATAAAGGAGCACTAGAGATACCTTATTATAACTAAAAAGAAAAAGTAAAGGCTAAATAGGATAAAGGAATAAAGGCTACCTTACTAGAGGCCTATAAGGAATAAGTATATATATTTAATATAGGTCTAGTAGCCTAGCTAGTAGGTAATAAGGGCTACTTATATATAATTAATTTAGAGCTAGAGGTAGAAGCGCTATTTAGCCTTATCTACTTATTAGCTAAGAAAGAACTAAAGGAATTAAGGATATATATTAATAAGTTACTTAAGAAGGGCTAGATTAGACACTTTATAAGCCTAGTAAGGGTACTAATTCTTTTTATTCTTAAGAAAAGAGGTAAGCTATATCTTTATATAGACTATAAGGGGCTTAATAAAGTAACTATTAAGAATTATATACTACTACCCCTTATTAGTAAGATCCTTAACTATTTAGTAGAAGTAAAGTAGTATATAAAGCTAGACCTAAAGGATATATATTACTAGGTAAGAATTAAGGTAGGTAATAAATAAAAAACAGCCTTTTATACTTATTATAAACACTTTAAATATTATATTATACTATTTAGGCTAGTTAATATACTAGTAAAGTTCTAGGTGTATATTAATAATACTTTTACTAAGCTAGTAGATATTATATATATTATTTAATTAGATAATATCTTAATTTTTATAAAAAGTAAAAAAAGTTATATAGAAGTAGTTAAGTAAGTGCTAAGCTAGTTAAATACTATAGGGCTATATATAAACCTTAAGAAGTATGTTTTCTATACTTAGTCTATTAGGTTCCTAGGTTTTATAATATCTAATAAAAGGATTATTATAAAGTATAAGTAAGTATAAGTAATAGTAAAGTAGCTACTTCTTACTAGCGTTAGGGAGATCTAGGTTTTCTTAAGGTTTATAGGATTCTACTAGTAATTTATTAAAAACTACTTTAAGGTATATACCTCTTTAATAGACAGGCTAATATCTAAAGTAGTAAGAGAGTAAGTAATAATATAAGAGGTAGAGGAGGCTTTTTATAAGCTTTATACCTTATTTACTTAGGCCTTAATCCTTTAGTTTTTTAACCTTAAGTTACTTATATAGGTTAAGATAAATATATCTAACTTTATAATTAGCGTAGTAATATACTAGCTTTATAAAGAAGCGTAGCACCTAGTAGCCTTTATATTATAAAAGCTATAAGGAGTAAAACTTTATTATAAGGTACTAGAGATAGAGCTACTGTTAGTTTTACTAGGTTAGTAATATAGTT